TGCAATTTGAAAATCTTGCAAATTAGTATATGAAAAATTATCTAGCCTCCCCTGAACTTTGAAAATTTTAGTATTTTGCCCCCCTGAAAGAAATTTTTGCCTCCACCCCTGCCTCAACCCAATGGGAGCCCTAAAAAAACTCATATCATATTTATTGTTTTTAAGGATTTAATTACATATCAAGTAAACTTAAAATATGATGGAGAATTAAACTTAACAATATGTTAATTACCTTAAAAAAAAAGGAACAGAGGATGAGAGAGAGTGCGAGCAAGTGGACATCGTTCACGGGATGGACGATCAATACAGGGTAATGAGAAAAAGAGACCTCAAGGAAGAAGTCGGCTTCGGAGGATCTCTCCGGTTGGTACGAGGCGAACGACGATTGATCATGTGCAGGACAAGAAGTCTCAGTTTGGTGGAGCCTATAACAAAGGCTTGTATAACCAAGCTACACCATTTTTCTTCACCAACTTCCCAGAAGAATGGAGCTACGCAGAAATGTGGAAGACTTTCTTACAATTTGGAAAGGTTTATGCTATATATAGTCCGAGAAGGAGGAATAGGAATGGTAACAGATTTGGCTTTGTGCGTTTTCTGGATGTCAAAGACAAAAAGGAGCTGGAAAGGAAGCTTGATTAGATCTGGGTTGGTGACCGTAAATTGTGGGTGAACATCCCACGTTTTGATGCTATGCAAAAAAAGGAGATGGAGCGCAGAAATCCCCAAGGAGAGGACTTGAGAATTCCTCAAAATCCTTGGCCAATCATTCAAGGAAGAAGCTTTGCTGATGTGGTGAAAGGTTCGCGAGGCTCAGATAGTAGAATGGTTTGGCAAAAGAAAGGACTAGGGGAGAACTGGCAAGGCATGGAGTATAAGGTAACATCTAAAGATTGTGCATGGCTTGAGGGAACTTATGTGGGAATAGTCCATTCTGTTGAGATGGTCAGGAACCTACAAGAGAAATTCTACATGGAGGGATACTTTCATTGTCGAATCCGAGCCACGGGGGGTAAGCTGGTGCTGCTGGATTGTGAAGACAAAGAGGAGTTGAAGGACCTAGTGGAGATGGCTTCGGAATGGCTAGGACAATGGTTCGAAGAGGTACAACCGTGGTCTCCAAATAAGATAGCTCAAGAGAGGTTTGTGTGGATCCAATGCCAAGGAGCTCCATTGAATGTTTGGGGATCAGACTTCTTTGAAAAAATGGGTTGCTCATGGGGTAAATTCATCTGCTTGGATGATAATACAAGCAAAAAAGGAGGTTTGACATTGCAAGAATGCTGATATCCACCCCGATAATGGATACAATATTCGTTAGGCGCCATATCAAGATCAATGGCTCGATTTACAATTTAAGGTTCTCAGAGGAGGAATTCACCAATAGCTTTTTCTCATTAAAACAGGATTTTATCCCATCCCTTCAGAGTGATTCAGAAGAAAATGAATCATGGTCGATAGAAAGTTTCGAGGGTGATCATGATTTCCAGGATGTAGGCGGAATAAGGCAATCCGTGGATGAGCCCGGAGGTGCAGATGGTGAAGAAGATGCAGTGGAGAGACACACAAGGGAAACCAACGGTAAAATCCAACTCCAAGACCCACAAGACGGTGACAGGACAATGGATGCAGTGCCTGACAGCATAGAAAATTTTGAAAATTTTGAATTTTCAAAGGATGGTGAGAACAGAGCATGGGTAACGGGAATGGCTCAAAAAGGGGGGAATGTTGTTTCTAATGTAGGATCCAAAAATGAGGAAAGCTGTCTTTTGGGCTTGGTGGAACATAATAACAGGAAATCATATGGAGAGGTTTTTAAAAAAAGAGTTGGGTCAGATCGTGGCCCAAATTGTGAGGATTCCGTTTCTATACCCCTGGGCCAAGATACAATGGAGGGAGTAAGCCCACTTTTTATTGGAAGGAAGATTTTTAGTGGGAATGAGATAGAGTGCTCTAGTCAAAGAGTCGGTGAAAGAAGGGCTAGTTTTGGGAGAAGCTCGGGGAGCGATGAGGGGAGTGTCGATGATGGGGGGCAGAGGCGTGTAGTCGGATCACAAAAGAAAAGGAAGATGAAGCTGAGAACTTGCAGATCTATATACTTGCAGGATGTCTCGGTGCAGAGGAAGCAGAGAAGGAAAAAGGGGCAAGGTCGCCGGAGCAAGCAGCCATCGGGGAGGCAGATTTTGCCAGAATTTATAGCTAGTCCAATTGGTGCAGTAGCAGGCGAATCTGTAGGGGCAGTGGGATTCAAAATTGTAACAGATCCATAAAGAGAAAGATGCAACGGAAGCTTGCTAAGGAGATTTGGGAGCTTGCCAAGCACTTAGGAGCGACGGCAGAGTGTGATGAGGAGGTGATCTGCAGAATTGATGAAATGGAGAAAAGAGATAGCCTAGCCAAAGCTGACACGGAGAAGAAGGCAACAGGGGGTGTGAAGAAGGTTTGTACTACTCTCAATGATAATTCTATCCTTTAACATTAGAGGCTTAGGAGGGGTTGGGAAAAGAAGACATATTAGGGATATAATTTGAGGGAGAAAGTGGAATTCTTAGCTGTGTAGAAGGGTGTGGGGGATGGAGGATTTGACTAGATAGCCAAGCCATCTAGGGGGCTATCGGTTGGATTGCTGTGTATGTGGGATAAAAAATTTTTTAAAAAGGAAGAGGTGTTAAAGGAGGACCATTTCATTGGGGCTTTTGGATTGTGGGGGGAATAGGGTGTACCGGTTTATATTCTAAACATTTATTCTCCATGTGAATTGTCTGGAAAGAGAGCTCTGTGGGAGGAGTTGCAGAATCTGATCTCAAATAGGAAAGGCAACTGGTGTTTAGGGGGGGACTTTAACACTGTCCGGAGCTCAAGGGAACGGGCAGGGTGCAATGGGATGTCCAGAGAAATGAAAGATTTTGATAGTTTCATCACCGAATCTGGGTTGGTGGATTTGCCTATGGCAGGGAGGAAGTACACCTGGTATAATGCTAATGGTATGAGCAGGATTGACAGATTCCTGGTTTCAGAGGATTGGCTTTTGAGATGGTGCGATGTAAAACAGTGGGGGTTAGAAAGAACAGTTTCAGACCACTGTCTTGTTTTATTGAAGTACGAGCGGGTGGACTGGGGACCAAACCCTTTCAAGTTTTTTTATGCTTGGTTGCAAGATCCTGGGTGCAAGGAGATGATTAGGAAAACATGGAACTCTACGACAGTGGAGGGATGATACGGTTTCAAGCTCAAGGAGAAGCTAAAAAGTGTGAAAAAAGCTTTGAAAGAATGGAGCAGAAACTCAGGGACAGAGGTGGATAGGAAAATAATGGAAGCTGAGAGAGTGATAGCCCAACTGGACGAAAGAGGAGAGAATGTTCAATTGTCACCTTCCGATATTGAAAAGAGGAGAAGTAGCTTTCTTGAACTGTGGAAGAACCTCAAATTAAAAGAGAACATGTGGCAGCAAAAATCAAGATTGATGTGGTTAAAAGAAGGTGATGCAAACACCAAATTTTTTCATAGGTGTGTGAAGGGAAGATGGAGAAAAAACGAAATCAACAGCATCCAAATTAACGGTGAACAGCATAAGGGCGTGGGTGAAATTAAAGAAAAAATGGTGGGTTATTTGGAGCAGCTTTTTACAAAAGATAGGTGGCAGAGACCCAAGTTAGATGGTATCAGCTTCCGACAGATTGACGGGGCAGACAACGAATCCCTCATGGCAGCATTCTCGGAAGAAGAAATCAAAAATGCTGTTTGGGATTGTGAATCGTCAAAAACTCCAGGCCCAGATGGATTTAATTTAAAATTTGTGAAGTGCATGTGGGAAGATATAAAAACGGAGATTGCAGGTTTTATTAGAGAGTTCCAAGAACAAGGAAGGCTTGTAAGAGGATCAAATGCTTCTTTCATAACTCTAATTCCGAAGGTAGAAAACCCCCATAAGATTGAAGAATACAGGCCCATTTCACTTATCGGAATTATGTACAAGATAATTGTGAAGCTATTAGCAAATCGCCTCCGAAAAGTGCTGGACAAAATTATTGGGGAGCAACAAATGGCATTTATCGAAGGTAGACAGTTGGTTGATGGTGTGGTTATTGCTAATGAAGTGATTGATGAGGCGAAGAGGAAAAAGAAGAGAAGCTTCCTTTTCAAGGTCGACTTTGAAAAAGCATACGATAAGGTGTGCTGGGACTTCCTAGACTATATGCTGATGAGGATGGGCTTCTGCAATACTTGGAGAATGTGGATACATGAGTGTCTACAATCCAGCACGATCTCAGTTCTGGTCAACGGAAGCCCTTCTAAACAATTCTCAGTTAGCAAGGGACTTCGCCAAGGAGACCCTTTATCTCCCTTCCTATTCCTGATAGTAGCGGAAGGACTGAATGGTTTAATGTCTTCCGCAGTTGAAAAAGAGTTATATAAGGGCGTGACAGTTGGCAAGGATGCAGTTATGATCACCCACCTTCAATTCACAGATGATACCATCTTTTTTGGGGAAGCAACAGAAAACAACATCATGGTGATTAAAAGTATAATGAGGACTTTTGAGCTGATCTCCGGATTGAAAATTAATCTACAAAAGAGCCAACTTATGGGCATCAATGTCGAAGACGGTTGGGGAAGCAAAATGGCCTATAGATTATGCTGCAAAAAAGGGGAATTTCCATTTAAATACCTGGGAATTCCCATTGGGGGAAGCCATAGAAGGCTCACAATGTGGTAGCCCTTGTTGGAGTCTTTTAAAAAGAAGTTGACAAGCTGGAAGGGTCAGCAACTTTCTCTTGGGGGTCGAATTACGCTCATCAACTCCGTGTTGTCCAGTTTGCCTGTGTTCTTAATGTCAGTATACCTTCTTCCAAAAGGCACTCTTAAAGCTATTGATAAAATTCACAAGAGTTTCCTATGGGGTGGGGAGGGAGAAAGGAAAAGAATTAATTGGGTCAATTAGAAGAAGGTCTGCATGCCGAAAGAGTGCGGAGGGTTGGGAGTGAGAGACCTAGGGTATTTTAACTTGTCACTGATGGGTAAATGGTGGGGGAGGCTAGCAGTAAAGGAGGATGGTTTATGGAGGAGAGTGATTGCAAGCAAATATGGTGAGGGAGGGGGGCACTGGATGGATTGGGTTAGGAATGGAGCAGGGGCTTGTTCTTCTTGGTGGAGAGATGTCAGAAGGATTGATAATGTAGAAGGGGAAATTACAAGGTGGTTAACAGAGGGCTTTAGACTGAAGTTAGGAGGAGGGAAGGACGTAAGCTTCTGGTGGGATGAGTGGAGTGGGGGGATTTGTCTAGCAAACAAATTCCCGAGATTGTATCTCTTATCTGAAGGAAAGGAGAAAGAGTGCTGCCAAATGGGAACTATGTGCAATGGAACGTGGAAATGGAATCTTACTTGGAGAAGGAAGCTGTTCGAAAGGGAAGAAGAGGCAGCAAAGGAAGCTGTACGGTGATTGAGGGTGTGAAGATTGCTCTTGGCCAACCTGATGAATGGGAGTGGATTCACAGCAAGGATTCCCGTTACTCAACCAAAACAGCGTACTCACTCTTGACAAAGGTACCGAGGTGTCCAACTCAAGAAAAGGTCTTCAAGAGAGTATGGAACCCCAACCTGCCAACCAAGATCTCTGCTTTCAACTGGAAACTGCTGCTCAATAGACTGCCAACCAAATCTAATTTGTTGAAAAGAGGATTTGGCGTAATCATGGGCGATGGCAATTGCAACCTGTGTCAAGAAGAGGAAGAAGACGCAACCCATCTGTTTCTGAAATGCAAAAATGTAAGATGGATATGGAAGGAGTGTGATAGGTGGTGGGGGATCAATATAGAGACACAAGAGGACTGTTGGAAGACATTTGAACATCCTGGGGCGTGGACCAGAAACACGAGGATCAGAAAAGGATGGGATTGTACCTGGAGTGCAATAGTATGGTCTATATGGCTGATGCAGAATCAAAGGATCTTCCAGAACCAAGAGATGGACCCGGGTAAGCTATTTGATCTGGTTCAAATTCGATCGTTCTTATGGTTTAAAGCAAAAAAAGTCTGGTGTTACTTTACTCTTTCGGATTGGATAAGCAATCTTATTGCATGCCTCACTGAGAATTGTGGTGGTAAAAGCTAGGGAGGAATAGTCTGAAAGATAGAATTAACATTTAGTGGCTGTTTTTCATGTTGTTTTGTGTAAATGCACAGGTGGATTAATTCTCGTCATGGGTATTGTGTCGACACTTTGAGAGGGTGTCGACACCTTGCTATCAAGTATAAGTAGGCTTCTCAAACAGTTTTGTTAAGGGTTTGGGGTACTCCTTATACTCCGTTTTATTAATATATATATCCTTTGCTGTTCAAAAAATACTTAACAATATGTTTGGGTTGATATTGGGAATAAAGGGGAGAGAAAAGGAAGAAAGTCCTTTACTTTATTTTTTTTCTTACGATTTATTTACTTATCCAAATGAGGGAAGAGAGGGGAGAGGAGGGAAATGAAGTTGAATTAAAGGAT